TGGTAGGGGTCTTATTGGATTGCAGAATATGAGTTCAGCAGCAAAATAGGTCTTTTCAGTGGTGCTAAGTAAGCATCTCCTGATAGTATTTAAAATGTTGTCGCCCTCAAAGGGCAGGAATAGGAAAACAGGCTTTTTCGGAGCTGACTGTTCCGTCATTTTAGGGTATAAGTGTTTGTTATACTTGTCGATAAACTGTGCTGGATATTCACGCCTGAGTAAAGTTTCTTTGAGGCAGGCTGGTTCTGTATCCAGAGTATCTATAGAGCAGATGTTTCTCATCCTCTGGAAGAGAGTATACAACAAGCTTCTTTTCCACTGAGTGGGAATAAATCTCAAATAATGCAAGTATTGTCCTTTCCATGTATTCTTATGGAAGACAGTTCATGCCATGAAGCAGTCTTTCGTCTGGACAGGTGAACGACGAGGTAGGAAAGCTGAGTCTCCTGTTTCTGTTTCATACTAAATTTAATCTTGAGATGCGAACTGTTCATTGTAAACAATAAGCCTTCGGCTTCCTTTATGTTATCAACAATCGCGAAGACGGAGTAGGTACCTAAGAAAAAGGTGACTTACTAGAGGACCTCTCAAGTGTTTGTAATCCGTCCATAGAAAACGAGCAACTTAAGGACTGTGTCAGACAATATGACAATCTAACGGGAGCATCCGACTAGGTAGAGAGACTGGATATCTTCAATTCACTCGATGTAATTTCTTGCGAAAAGCCTGGATTTTAGCCGAAAGACTCGTGGAATTCATTCGCCTCCTCACAGTAGATCTTTTGCCTACCGCAAGTCTTGCATCTACCTCCTATATGCATTTATTCCAATGCATGCAGTTTTAGCTAACTGGGGAAACAGGAAACCCCCAAAGATGCACATCCCAACGACAAGCTGCTCAGAAAAGGGCAAATTAGGAAGGTTTCCGCGAGGGTCCAAAATAATTGTTGCATTCTGTCGGACTTTATCCTTCTAGCGAGATTAATGGAGAATGCTTAGACAAATCACAATCGATATCAAGGAAGAAGAACCCGTTTTTGCTACTGTTTATGCTAATGTCTCCGATAAAGAATCCGCGACGGACTTCGAAACGCCTTGTTCCCTCAATCGCATCACCATCACCATCACCACCGACACCACTACCACCACCACCATCTCAGAAATTTAATTCTTACGTAGTGCGTACGTACGTATCTTTGCATCATATTTTCGATGTCATTTGGACTTTCTGTAATGTGTTAACGTTCCACAGTGTTTGAATATGCCTGGCTGTCTAAATAGAGCAATTGATTTTCAGCGAAGGTGAAGCGTTTTTCAAGTGCATTTTTTAAATGCCCTCTTAAGATAGAGTGGCTCGTGAGACATACGATTGGCAGTTGTTTGGCCGTGGAGTGTCAAAGGTACGTCAAACACTCCTCAGCTAGTACACATTTCGAACCGTAACAAAGCGAAGTTTTGTGTTTTCAGGATTGCTGCGTTAGAGACTGCACAATCTAAAGAGCATCTATTAGTATGAAATTTTGTGCTCAAAATTAAAAAAAGAACATTCAAACCGAACCCTCCCCACACCCAGTTAAGACTCGCGTGCCGTTGTCATTCTGCAGTTAAAGTACCTTAATCGAACCATCTGTCTGCACATATTGATGTTGAACTGCCTGCCGGTCTGACGGCTATGACACCCCACAGTTTTTTGGAAAAATTAATAGCCGCCTGGAAGTAGCGTTCCTCTGGGATTTGCTAACTAGCCATGCCGCACCACCGAGAACACTTTGGTAAATCATCATCATCATTTCTGAATAAGTGGTTTTTATTGTGTTAGAAAGCAGTAGCAGGAGGAGAAGGAGTGAACGACGCGTCAGGGACTTAAAAGGAAAAAAAAGACTGCGGCACCTTTACAGAGCCTTGTCAGGGCAACAGCCCGAACTCGTTCGAGCCAAATTATCATACACTCTCGCCCCCCCCGCTCCCCCGGCCCCTGCTCAATGCCAGTAGGATAAAGACCAGAAGAGCAGTGCGCGAAAAAGTGACAGTACTGATAAGCGCGAAGTCAAAGTAGGAGGATCCATTATCGCGGGCTTGACAGCATCCATTAGCTACGCGTGCGCGCGCATTTAGGTACACACACATTCAAGGTAAATATATATATACATATGCGTAAATAATTGCACTTATCTTGGCGCATGGCGCAAAACACACATAACGCCTCACCGCCAACTCAAAAATGCAGCAACGCCAGCAGACAAGGCTTATATGCGCTACCCTCGGGCTGAAAAAAGGATTGATTGCCAAGGTGGGAATCTATCGGATAACTCCCAAAGAGCTGAATGTCGGGAAGAGTGTCGGCAGCAAAGTGCAGGCCTACCTACTACAAAGGTAATCGTTCGCAGTCATCTGAGTTGAGTTCATTTATGTACATTTAGCTAGAGCAGGCGCAAATGTCGTCAGTGTGTAGTCTCAGGCCAAATGAAAGGGATACGGCTGGCTAACCTAAAGCTGCTCGTCAATACTTAATCATTTTCACTAAAAATACAGAACAACTCCAGAACGAAAGAGGCAAATTTAAAACCAAGACAGAGTTTTCCATTCTCTTAGATAATAGACATAGTTAGATTATGGTTGCGCCGGCTTATTCACTTGTATAGTGTGCTATATTGTTCATCTTAACGTTTCGCATTTATTTCGTTAGTTTAAGAAGCAAAGAAATTGCATTAATAAGCCGCGACTACTTACCAAATACTTTAAAGGTATATTTGTCAGAAATGCTTTAGCCTTTTTGGCACTGTCTATTAAGTGTCTGCGAGTAGTTATTTGGTAGAGGCGAAAAATGAAAGGCCTAAAAACTCGCACTTCCTTCAAACCGAATTCCTGTTTTAAGGCGCACATTGAAAATTAAAAGAGATAATTGCTTATATTGTAAAAATAGTAAGCATATAGAAGGAACACTTGCTGTATGGTAAACTTAACGGAGTCTGATACCCACGAGGGTAGGCTAGAATGTGGGATGGTAGAACATGTATAGTCAAGTTTCAAGCTGGTAGCAGATTTCGGATGTTTCATCATCAGGTGTTACTTTCAAGAAACAGCTGCAAATTTGACAGAAACAGTGGAATAGCTGGTTGTACCCCTAGAACTTTAATTATATAAAGTATGTAACTTCTGTTTTCTAAGTTAACCAAAACAAGCTCTTCAAAGATGTGAAAACGCGTTGTTCAACGGAAGTCAAAGGACTGCCGTAAGTTCAGTATGCTTACGAAATAGAATGTCAAGCAATTTCCAAATTAATCGCTGAATATACAACATTACGAATGGAGTGAATTTCGGTTCGTGAAAACTATAAAATTATAGTGAGGAATTTAGTTTTGAGCCCTAATAAATCGTTATAATACTTCACGATACACGCATATAATGCACATTTTGAAATTTATTTCCCAACGGCTTACTATGTCCTTTCCACCTTGTATTCATTATTATAAACGAATTGGTTTACTCGGTACTTTTCAGGAGTAAATCCAGTGTAAGTGGAGCCAGTTTCATGTATTCTAGGTAAACGCATGCTCAGATACTGAAATATTCAGTATAAGCGCAGGTTTGAAAAGGGCCTAAGAAGCTACTAGACGTGATTCTAGAAACTATTGTCTTACAAATGTTGGCCATCAGTGTAAGCCTTACGCATCCGTCATGGAAATTGGAT